CTTTTTTATACTTTGACAAATGTATGTTCATTAATCTCCTTGGAGTTAAGACTTAAGACATTTTAAAAATTACCTTTAATAAAAAGAAAAAGTCCTTAAAGAGCTAGGTCAAAATACTAATATGGAAACAGTCAACAAGTCATGCTACTTATATATCCAAATATGTGACCTACTAAATGGCTAATCTCAACTCCCATAAAATTAGTACAAACACGTTGTCCACGCGCCCTGGTGAACGTTAGCTTAATGTGTGTAACATTTTGCTTCTCAGTTGACCATTCAAAGGATTCAATCAAATCAAATGGTGGCAAAACTTAGATTATTTTGACATTAACCCCAACCGCATTAAAAATTTAACAATAAAAACTTTGACATTATTGGCTTTTGTTTTCTTTGTCTTGTTCCCTTGTCACCTCTTGCTAAATTTGACAATAGGCTTTCAAGTTTCAAATCTCCAAATGCCCTTCCGGAAAGCAATGGACCAAGAATGCTAGAAAATCATCTAGTTCTAATTCTTTGTTCTCAATACAATAGTAGTAAGTTGGCATCCCTTGTCTAATTTTGCCTTTTCTGGTTACTGCCCCAAATGAAAATATGCTTGACAGAGAAACCTTTCAAAAGTAATTATAGGCAACTTTCCATCATGTAGCATTCCTATTATGTATCTAATTGAAAAGAGCAAGTGTGGGAAAGGAAATGACATCATTTAAAGCTTCATTAGAATAAAGAGGTTTACGTGAAATACATTTCCAAAATTAGGAACTTATTAAAAGTATTTTTCAAGCTAATATATATAGTTAACTACCCATAATGTTATCCAAAGTATTTCCGAAAATTAAAGTAAGTGACTAACCATAAACCTATCTTTTAACAAGTGGTTGAGGTATTTCAAAGTTGGATTATTATACTATGAATTGATCTTTCTTACACAGTATCGGTATTTGTACATATTAACGTGAATGATATGTGTTATGCATCTGCACCAGTTAGCGTAAAAAAAAAAATTGTATTGATACCGTAGGAAAATTAATCCCTATTTTATTTGAGATGCAAAAAGCAAGCTACTATGTGTTCCACATAAAGAAAAAAATTAACTTCCCTTTTGTTGTTCGTGTATCTATCTAAAGGAATATTAATTGGGAGTTTTTGGAGATAATTTTAAGAGTAAAAAGTTGTAGCAACATGGCATCTTGCTGGTATTTTACAGCATTTTTTCCATGCATCCCAAGCTGCATATTCCAAAATCCAATGTCAAAGGAAGAATGGGAGGCAAAAAAGGCAGGCAAAGGACCACATTATTAATGTCAACTGGGACCAAGGAAGACTAGTCTTTCTATCTTCTCAAGTTCCTCAATGAGACAGTGAATTCACTTGATGGTGGTACAGTTGAATTATTGATATAGTCCATAACTAAATTGATCTTTTTGGTACTACGGATAGATCTTCTTCAGTCTTGATTGCACCATATTTCTACCCCATTTTATGTCGTTTGTGGTGGCCAACTGCACTTGGCAAGCTGGATTGGTTGGAATAGTGCTGTCTCCCAATTTAAAAACCAAAATAATAAGAAGAAAGGAAAAAAAAAATAGCTAATGAGAAATGAAACATGCTAAATATTTAGTGAATATAAATATCGTTATAAGTTTAAAAACCAAATCTTTAATGGTACTTTCTATTTTCTTTACTTATTTATTTTTTTATTTTCTTTCTTTTTTTGTATTGGGGAAAATTAAGATCTATTAGATTTGCCAGGCCAAAGTACAATTTTTTAAAATCATCTCTTTTTTTTCAGAGGTAAAAGAAAAAAGAGAAAGAAAAGGAAAATATTAGAAAGCCAAAAATAAAGTAGTAAAAGGGTGAATCCGTTAATTTATTAGTTTGACTTTTTAATATTAATTGTTAGTTTTAAAAAAGAAAAACCAATTATGATAGTTTAGCTCCAATGTCGAGGAAGTTTTGGTCCAGTGGTTAAGATTGATATCCCAAAATTTAAGACTCTAAGTTCAATTTTTTTCCTTCTTCTAACTTTTGCTTGAAAAAAATTTTAAAAAAAATTTAATTCCAACCATGAGAAGGTTATATATAGATTTTTAAATAATAAAAAAGTTATATGAAAAAACATTAAATTATAGGAGGATAAAAGATAATTTACCTTCTTTTCTATGAGATCATGTTTCATAAGTTATTAGTTAAAAAAGGATTGGCTCGGATACAAAGGTTCAGCTATCCATGAACTTTTGCCATGACTCTTAAATTGGAAATACAAATTATTATTAAAAAATTGCAAATACAAATTGATTTATACTTGAACAATTTCAACGTCTGTGGTTAGGGGGCAACTCTAAAATGTTTTAACTTCAGATTCATTTTATTTTGGGCCTTCCAAGTAACAAAATATCTCAATTTGGTCCCTCAAATTGCAAGGATCTCAATTTGGTCCTCAAAAATTAGCAAAACATCTTAATTTGGTCTCTCAAACTGTATAGGTCTTGTAATGGCCCTCTAAAGTGGTATAAAATCTCTACTTCCTCCCTCAAAATAAATAAATCTAATTTCAGTCCTCCAAATAAGACAATTGTTCCAATTGGTCCTCAAAAATTAGCAAAACATCTTAATTTGGTCTCTCAAACTGTATAGGTCTTGTAATGGCCCTCTAAAGTAGTATAAAATCTCTACTTCCTCCCTCAAAATAAATAAATCTAATTTCAGTCCTCCAAATAAGACAATTGTTCCAATTTGGTCCTCAAAAATTAGCAAAACATCTTAATTTGGTCTCTCAAACTGTATAGGTCTTGTAATGGTCGTCTAAAGTAGTATAAAATCTCTACTTCCTCCCTCAAAATAAATAAATCTAATTTTAGTCCTCCAAATAAGACAATTGTTCCAATTTGGTCCTGCAAAGTTATTATATTAATAGTTTAATAACTATGGAAGAATAATTTAAAAAAAACCATGGAAGAGTCAAACTGCCAAAAAGAAACAAAGGAACATTTAATAATCTATTTACTAAGAGTTTTTCCTACTTTGGTGATTTCAATCAAAGTGCCTTCTTTCGTGAAATTAAATATGTGCAAACCTACTCTTTTTTTTTTCCTATTGATAATTTTCTAAATTATTTTATATCCAAATCACAACTAACTTGTGAAATATCGCACCTTTATTATTAAAAAAAATAAAGAACAAAAGCTTCATGGAATTGTAGAACAATTCAAAGTCTGAACAAGTTTGCTATTTCTGCATTTTTTTTTTGTAATCAGCTAATTTTTTATGCCTTTTATGAAATATAGTTGAAGGATCAACTTAGCATAACTTCTTAGTTTGGAGTAACAAATTGAAAATTTTCAATTTGAGTGATCAAATTGAGTTTTTGTATTGCATTGGAGGACCAAAATAGGACTTTTATAGTTTGAAAGACAAAATTGAGATGTTAGATTGAGAGACTATATTTAGATATAGATTCGCTTTAGATGACCAAAACGATATTAACCCTTTGAATATTTACTAGCCCAATGTTTTGGAATATTTATAGGGTTAATTTTATTTTGGTCCTCTAAAGTTGTTCAAAATGTTAATTTGGTCCTCAAACTAAAAGGTCTTAATTTGGTCCTCCAAAGTAACCAAACATCTCAATTTGGTCCCTCAAACTAAAGTTATTATTTTTAAGGGTAAGGAAATTCCGATTTGGTACTCCAAAGTAGCATAGAATCTCATCTCAATTTGGTCCCTCAAACTAAAGATATTATCTTTTAAGGGTAAAGAAATTCCGATTTGGTACTCCAAAGTAGCATAGAATCTCAATTTGGTCCCCCCAAGACTGAGAAAGTTATTCCAATTTGATCATCCAAGGCTATTTTGTAAATGCATTGAAATTCGCTGATTACAGAGGAATTTAACTTCGAAAAGATATTTGAAGACAAGTTATATTAATTGTTCTTCAAGAAGCATTGGTGCATAGGCAACTGGGAAAGACTCTAGCTAGTATCTTCAAAGTTACACACAAATGAAGATACAATACCTCCTTTTGTATACCACTGACACACACACACACACACACACAAGTTTAAAAGCAAGAATATGCACCTTTGGACTAGGATTATGCTAATGAATGAGCGATTAGTGACTGTAATTATGATTGTTATTACTTATAAAGAAAAAAACCTTAGGTATCATCTTTCTAGAAGGACACTGTAAACATAAATAGGCGAAAACGGTTTACTGCCTAGATAGGATTAAACAAAGCAACAAGGAAAATTAAAAATTTGCTTATATTTTGACATGAAAATAGAGATGGCTCAATGGGACCGTTGCCATGAATTTTTCTCAAATGATGAATTCCATAATCTAGCCTTTCTATCTCTTCTCTTTTCTGTCAAAAAAAAAAATCCAACCTTTACTAAATTTCAGCCACCATTGGGCCAATAAAAGCTGTTTTAGATACTACTAAGAGTAGGAGAAATTTAACAGTGATATATTAGTGGCTGTGGATATTTTTGAAGGTATCTCTCATAGCCAAGTGGCAGAAACATTATCCTATCACCAACATCGTTCCATGCTGCATGGGGACACAATCCTTAGGCTCAGATTCTCTCTTCTTATCTCATGGATGAGATTTCCTCCTTGTCCGTGAAACTCTTTGAAAACTGTTCCAAAAGTTTCGATCAGAATACCAAACAAAAATTTCCCAGGCTCTAATAAATCTTGCCAAGTATCATCGCACCAATGCTCGACTGCATCATACTTTGGGACATTTGTTACTTCAGTGATCAGAATTTCACTTCAAATTATGGAAATAACTATACCCATTTTCTGTTCGGTTGATCAATCCATTAAAATTCAGCAAACATACTTTTTCGTGTCCAGGTTTGGATATCTCTGATTGTCTTTGTTCTTGATGCTTAAAAGTAGAAAGTGGAGTGAGCTACTTAGCTGCTAAAGTAGCTAAAACGTGTACATACAAAAATCTTCAAGTTGCATGGTCGGGGGCCTGACTTCTTATGTAGTGCTAACTTAGCCACCTCACATAGTATGACATGTTATAAGGATGGTGGGGACATCAGTCCTTTATCAGAGTCATTTCATGACACCACAGGAGGATCATTCAAGAATCCAGAATCTGATTTCACATTGAAGGAACAAGAATGTATCGCTTTCGTGAAGAGATGCAAGAGCCTCAGAGATATGAAAGTAGTTCATTGCCAGATTGTGAAATTGGGGTTGATTTGGAGCTCTTTCTGTGCAAGCAATCTAGTTGCCACTTGTGCTCTTTCTGACTGGGGCAGCATGGACTATGCCTGCTCAATTTTTCGCCAAATAGACGACCCAGGTACTTTGAATATAATACTGTAATTAGAGGACTAATCAAGGAAATGAGCCTAGTAGAAGCATTATTTATGTATCTTGAAATGCTTGAAAGTGGGGTGGAACCTGATAATTTCACATATCCTGCTGTTTTCAAAGCATGTGCTCTTTTAAGAACACTTGAGGAAGGAATGCAGATTCATGGGCATGTGTTTAAGCTTGGTTTTCAAGAAGATCTATTTGTGCAGAATAGCTTGATAAATCTGTATGGAAAATGTAGAGATATAAGGAATTCACGTATGGTTTTTGAGCAGATGGATCAAAAGACAATTGCTTCTTGGAGTGCTCTAGTTTCAGCTCATGCAAACTTGGGCATGTGGTCTGAATGCCTTGGGATTTTTGCTGACATGAATTCTGAAGGTTGTTTGAGGGCTGAGGAGAGTGTGCTAGTAAGTGTGCTCTCTGCTTGTACTCATTTAGGTGACTGGATTTAGGTAGGTCTGTACATTGTTATCTAATAAGGAATATGAGTGGCCTCAATGTCATAGTGGAGACTTCCTTAATGGACATGTATATGAAATGTGGCTGCTTAGAGAAAGGGTTGTGTCTGTTTGAAAGAATGGCAAACAAGAACCAGATGTCTTACAGTGTAATGATTTCAGGGCTAGCAATGCATGGATGTGGTCAGGAAGCTCTAAGAGTCTTCTCACAAATGCTTGAAGAAGGATTACCACCAGATGATGTTATTTTGTCGGTGTACTCAGTGCTTGCAGTCATGCTGGCCTTGTCGAAGAAGGTTTGAGATGTTTCAACAAGATGAAGTATGAGAATGGGATTAAACCAACAATTCAACACTATGGGTGCATGGTTGATCTAATGGGCAGAGCAGGAATGCTTAATGAAGCTTTAGAGCTTGTCAATGGCATGCCAATGGTACCAAACGATGTTTTGTGGAGGGGTCTTCTTACTGCTTGCAAGATCCATTCAAATGTTGAATTGGCAGAGGTAGCAGCTAAAAATCTGTTTCAACTGAATTCTCATAATGCCAGTGATTATTTGACTTTATCAAATCTTTATGCAAAAGCTCAAAGATGGGAGGATGTGGCGTCTACTCGCACCAGATTAGCTGAAGAGGGCTTGAACCAAGAGCCTGGATCCAGCTCTGTGGAGGTGAAAAGGGAAGTGTTTAAGTTTGTATCTCAAGATAAGTCACATCCCCAGTGGGAGAGCGTATATGAGATGCTTCACCAGATGGAATGGCAGTTGAAATTTGAAGGGTATTCCCCAGATACATCACAAGTATCGCTGGATGTAGATGAAGAAGAGAAGAGACAGAGATTGAGTACTCACAGCCAAAAATTGGCAATTGCCTTTGCACTGATTCATACATCGCAGCATTCTCCCATCAGAATTGTTAGAAGTGTCAGAATGTGCAGTGACTGTCACACATATACTAAATTCATTTCAACCATTTATGAAAGAGAAATTACTGTAAGAGATAGGAATCGCTTCCATCATTTCAAAAAATGGAACTTGCTCTGTGAGATTACTGGTGAATCAGGATGTTCAATTTTTTTCTTCCACATCAATTTTAACTAAGTTCTTCCATCTTTAACCTTAAAGAAAGCATGCATCTCTTACCCCAAAAAAAATGCATGCATCCAGATGCAAAACTGCTGCTCAGGAACATGAGGAAATAAATGCTTAAAAACTGCTGCATCCAACTACAAAACTGCTGCTCAGGGAACATGAGGAAATAAGTACTTAAAAAGGTGTGACAATATATTTAGGAAAATGTTATTTGCACTCCATATGTTGTTATTTGTACCCTCACTATTTGTTTTATCATATAGGCCCTATTTGACAAGTGAATTTTTTGGATACTTATATAAAATTTACTGTAACTTATCATTAAAGTTGTAGAAAAACTTTCATAATATTGAGGGTTTGGAAAAAAATTTTCTTTTCTTCTTTTTCTTTTCTCTTTCTTTTTCGTTTTCTTTTCCCTTTCTTCTTCTTCCTCCTCCTTCCATCCCCACTACCGGCCACCGGACACCACCATCGCCAGCCAACACCACCTCACCCATCTTTTTTTTCCCTCTCTCCTCCTCCCTCCCTTCCCTCGCCCCTCCTCTAGTTGCAACCAGATGGGGGCGCGGGCCAGGGGAAGGGAGATGGTTTGTTGCATGGTTGGTCCGCACAACTAGGTTGGCGGAAGGGGAGGGGGCTTGGGGAAGGGAGGGAGGAGAACAATAAGGGAAGAAAAAGAAAAGAAAAGAAAAGAAAAGGACTTGCCAACATCTACGTTGGGAGGCAGAGGTGGTCTGTTGAGGTTTTTTTGTGTGTGGTAGGGGAGGGGGGGGGGAGCAAGGTAGAAGAAGAAAGGAAAAAAGAGAAATTTTTTGGTGTGTTTTCCGATATTTTGAGGTGTATATTTTAAAATTTTTAAAAAGTTTTTAAAATTATTGTAGTTAAAATAGTTAAAAAACTTGAGAAAAACTTAGTAATAGTCTAATAATTGAAACTATATGAGTAGAATGATAGTGAAAGTGTGATTAATAAAAATGGGAGTGCAAATAACATTTCCCCACATTTCTGGTGCTCCCATCCCAATAACATTAGCCATTTATACAAGAAGTTTGTGACAATCATCAAGACATAGAGAAAAAAAATACATGCGGAGGGAGTGGAGGCAACCTGCTATATAGTACTTGAGACGTAATCAATATTGAGTTTATAAATCTGATAACTAGCAGCAGCAAGCGCCGTCAATGACAGAACAATTGACAATGTTATTTTATCTGTTTCTTTCACATGGGTGGCAGAAGGCATCTGTGCCTCCAAAGACGCCCAAATTTGGATAAACTCATCAGCCTAACAAGAGCATTAGTAATCACGATGAGAGTTAAACCTATTTGTTACAACATATGAGACCCCACAGGTATATAATTAGGTGTTTATTGTCTCAAAGCTATTACAGCTTTGGAAAAGAACTCAGTAGAAAGTTACCTGCTTGCAAATTATATATGCTGCTAAAATATTGGGGGTGATTGTTCACTTTCACATAATTTGTGATCTAGGTTTATTCAATCCTAATTGAAGAAACAGCAGTTGTGATTTCCTTTGCTCGTGGATCATTGTTCTCTATAGAAACACCATTAGGATCTTCTCTCACTAGCAAGGCAAGAACATTGCGAGAGCTCCAAGCTCTGATGACATTGTCACTTGAAGCTCCTAAGGTAACAGCAAACACAGCATCGAACCCGCCTGCGCCAGGGACACAGCCAGCAAAACTCCCTCCATATTCATCGTGGCATCTAAAAGCTCACTTTGTGATTCAGGTTCTATCTGCAAAGTGGAACATGGCAGAAGTGATGGTCTGATCGACTACAGACATGCAGTGTGAACAGTACCTGCTTCCATGTTAGACCTAGGACATGATAACTGAAAGAAATCAAAGCTCACACTTGGACAGATGCACCTATAGAGATAAAGGAAGTCGGGCAGATCAAGAAATGCTCAAATGCAAAACAATTACAGAGAGAGAGAGAGAGAGAGAGAGAGAGAGCTGTTGCCTTTTCCAAATCCATTGTGCCAACTGTATGTGGACAAATCAATTTCAGATTTTCTTTCTAACACGCAAATTCTTTCTGCATTTCCTATGCAGTTGTTAACTGTGGGCATGAAATAACACCCGTGGCTAATGTGAAGTATCACTTCTGATCTGATGCACTTTGAATCAAGTGTAAAGTTTTCGGTGTCGTATATTCTAATTAAAGATTTCTTAGAGAGGCAAAAGAGATTCCAATCGGCTTATCATTTGAGACCATCATATCCGACAAATATGTTTAAGTAGATTAAACTGCTATTGAGAAAGGTTTTAAATATTTCTTTTCATAATTCATGGATTTCTAAGTCTCCAACCAGAATAAGAAAGTGCTGGGATAGATGGAAAGAGGAATTATGTTTCTAACCAGAAAGAAGAATAAAAACACGTACATGCATGCAAGACAAACAGACAACAAAACATAGGCAAGTGCTGTTTCGAACCAGAAAGAAGAGAACTTACTGGGATTCCAGCTGCCTCACCCATCTTCCGCATGTGGTTTCTGATACCAAGCATGGAATTTCTAGCTCCTAATAATGCTTCTATAACTGCTTGGCTTGATTCATCTTCTCCTCCTACCCACTGTTGATAAGAAGTTGGCAAGCTCATTTTAGAGAGAGAGGTTACAACAAAATGAGAAATGCTCACCAAAGTGTTAAAGTTGACATCCACAACAAAATACATTAATCAACAAGAAGAGAAGTGGTTGTCCCTCCATCTGCAGTTTGCGGATGCAGACAATTCAAAAGGACTTTTCTAGCCAGTAAAATCAATCCATAGCTAGACAATTACAGGGATGATTTGTATCAAAATTTCTTTAGTATTTAGATATTGATTACTGTCACAAACGAAGATCCTCATTATCTGCATTAAAATTTCTGTTGCTTAACTAATACATTGTTGAACAAGGAGACTAGCACTTTATGAAGATTGGAGGAAAAAATGCATGTTCAGCCATGATGTTAGCAGCAGATGAATAAGGTATCTGCCTGTGGCATGCAAGTCATACAAGTCAGGATATAGTAATTGAGGAAGACCGAAGGGATTCATTTGTTAAGAGACCAATTGCCAAGAAATTTTGCTGCAGTTGATTGAAGATTTACCTTTTCTGAGGTAAGCACACTGCACCTGTTGATGACATTTTGTACGCATCACTATGTTTTTCAGCCAATCCACTCAAGGCATTCAGATGCAATTCAAGTGCAGAGTTTGCTTCTGACAACTTCCTCCATGTTTCTAGAGAATTTTGAGGGTCAGACTTCTGCCACTTCTTTACAGCACCTACCATTGATGGTGTTGATGATCCTCCAGTTCCTGGTTCTCCCAGTAACTGCAAGTGCATCACAACATTAGGAAACTAAGTGAACATACTCCGTTAGTTAGAAATGATGGGAACCCTCAAAACCAGTATAAAGTTTTTGACAAGTGATACAAATTAACATGGTGTTGTTTATTTCAATTTGAAGCATATTCTCATCATCTAGAATTGGAGGAGGCATACTGAGCTCACGTAATGCAATACTGAACACATGCTTGAGCTCCCAAAGATGCAGTAATGTACAATCAAACAGCTATTTGTTATATAAAGAAAGATGGTGTATGTTGTTTTGGCAACGATCATGGCATAAGGTCAGGAAAGACCCAATTGCACCAGCAAATATCATTACAATCAGTAGGTTTCCAATCAACGTTTAGCTTTTAATTCTATTGAAAGTAATCAAGGACTGAAAAAAATAATAAAATCAATGACTGGTTTCTGCTTGAGAAACAAATCCAGCAAAGGGACACAAATGCCATCGGCATCCATGGAGGCCATATCATAGACACAAGGACCTGGGGCACTAAATTCCATCAAATGCTATATTTCTGTACAACTTACAAGAGTCATTGATGGAGGCAAAGAAAACTTTTTCCTCTCATGGTCCCACTTGGCTTGAAGGACATCAGATATGACTTCTTCCAGAGGTATTCCTTTAACTGCACCCTGCAAGTCCACAATGACACTGATTTATGACTCAAATAACATCAATGAAGTTATTTTATTTTAGTCTGCTAAACCCAGCTGTCCTACACTATAAAGTTTCAAAAAGCATTTAAATTATTTCAAGTTAAGAAGAACATACAAGATGGCTGACAGCAACTTAGAAGGAAGCTAATTTTTAAAGCATGCTATCAAACTAGCTCTACATAAAATGATCTACCCTGAAATAATGAACTTCTGTGCTAAGTTGAGAAGAACCCGTTTTTAGATGTACAGATCATTAAGCAGATTTCAGGAGTTCACAGCCATCATATGTCATAGATGCAATAGTAAAATGCTCAATGATCCGACAACTGGAAGTAGGTCATTTTGACGACTATAAGAAGTTTCTTTATGACTGCACCATCATGAACTGTCATGTTATAAGCTGAATATGAGGGTGCGCTTTACCAAAGGTTGATGCCAATTATATAAAAGAGAAGCTTTACTTCACAATTTTAAGAGGAATTCCCCACATATTTTCTAAGAAAGCACCTTACCACATATCAAAGACTATAAGAACCAAACTTTACTCCTCAAGTAACTATTGTTGAAAGCTAAGCAGAAAACAGAACAAATTAACCCAAGTAAGCCTCACCCTTTAAGAAAAAGTTACACTAGAGAAGCCATGGATGATCATTAGCCAGTATGACATTATGATTCTGGGAAAGAAAACATCAGATGCAACCATCGGGCTCAGGATTGGTCATTGTCTCTCCATCCTTGAGGCATGGCAAAAAAATTTATTTTCCTCTTTGCCTAACGAAGCATCCCAGTGGTACCATCTACCTATAATGATTTAATGAGGCATACTCAAAGGTACTATAGCACTGTTTGACTCCTTTGAGTAAATACTAGTTTCTTACCTAATCAAATGTTCTCCAATTTCCATCCAGGTGGACACTAATGGAAATAAAAAAACTAGCAGATGAACCAAACACTTACAAAAGCATTTCAGACGACATGGATCGCACATAGAGATAAAGTAACTTGGCCTTTTGAGTTCTTTTTGACAATAAAAAACTGTCACTCTCAAATCTAGGAACATTAAAGTTTAGCAAGTGATACTAATAAAATGAAAAGAACTCATTTATGGACAACTAATACCTAAGCTGCACGTACACACACACACCCACATGAGGGCATTTACACGTTTAATCATATGCCTTAAGTGGTGTTAAATGCAAAATGACCTAAGCTGCCTTCATCTTTCACTCAAACATAATCATCAGATAATCATGAGGAGTTGGGTGGTATGGCACCTGAGCAGAAGAAAGCACTTCTGGTGAGAACCGAACATAGCGTTGGCTGCCATAAACTGCAGAACTCACATCAAATCCACTACCCACTTTTCCCTGTGCAATGCAGTGAGCTGTTTGAGCTATCATGTGCACAATATCAAGATCTGCATCAACTTTCTTTCCGGAAGAAAGGTCAACAACTCCAAGGTAATGGAGCAAACTCGCAACAACTGCAGTTGTCATAGCTGCAGATGATCCCAATCCAGTTTTTGCAACTTCAGGCTTTTGTCCACTTGATTCTTCTGCATTGAAGGTGATAGAACTAAAAGGTGGAAGCAAAGCCAAGGATTCTGGTGTCAAAGGTAAACCTTGCAACTCGATCTACACAAAAATGTATCCAATTTACACTTTAACTGTCGACATGTTCACACAAGAAACCCAAAACAAGAATGGAACAAATATTCTATTAAAGCGTAAGCATAGAATATGATATTATTAACCTAAATAGTCTAGCAAAAGGAACATGAAATATTGAGTCGTAATGATGAAAGATAAAGTAATTCAATCTTTCATTCCGCAAATTCCAGATTTCAGTATGGATGAAACCCTATTGGATGACCTACCAGAAAGTGATGCTTCTAGCAATCTAGATATTGCCATATGGCATAAGAAAACCAAAAAACTTTATCAAGTCCTATGTGGAAACAGAGGTTGATTCAAATTCACAAGTATACATCAATGTTCTAAAGAAAATAAATTTTGCTAACACGAGTTCCTAAAATCAGTGGGTCTGGTAAATCTAGTAAGTACATCATTTTTCTTCAATTAGATAGAGTCAGCAGCTTCAAATATCTAAAATTTCCTAATATAAAGACTGATCTAATTTAGTTTTTTGTAGTCGTTTCTCAATCTGCAAGGGAAAGTTCCACTTAAGAATCTCACATATATAAGTTGATCTTAGAAAAGTTTCATTCAACTATGAAAGTATGCAGTGACATATACAAAACAATAAGATCCAAATAACAAAATCCATTCTTATATTGGTTAGTTAACTGAAAGCATGACTACCTCAAGAAGATATTGAACTACAAATCTTTGCTAAACATGAACAGGAACCTCACAATGATATAAGTAATAGATGATTGTGCCGAAGGAAGCTAAGAGAACATCAATTGCAAGAGTCAAACTGAGTAAGCTTTTATTATTATGAAACCTGGCACTCGAACAACTAGCAAATTGCTTTTTGGTGCATAGATATGATTCAAGTCAACCACTAATTTAGAGACAGCCATTGTGTTAAGAGGGACAAGAAGGAAATGATCACTAAACACCACTAAGCTGTCACGGCTTGAAGATACATGACAGGAAACGTGAAATACCTGATTCCTATATGAATAAAACTCATTGCATCCTAGAATCGTAATATCAAGACCTGCATGACTAATCCATCAGCAACTTGGATTCATTTATATTCATTCAGCTTAACGAACAAATATGAAGAGTGAAATGTCAGACATTACCTTGCAAAAGTATCTTTTGTAATGCATCTGTCTTGTCTTTGCCAATTTTGCATGAGCTGCTGCCACTGCATATTGGACCGCATGTTCTACAAAGGGGTTTCTTGAGGCACTGCTATTAAGCCAACAACATAAGGCATTACTCCAGTGAATTCCATTTAATACATGAATCCTTTGCATGTGGTTTTTAAAACACGAATCCAATCCAGAATTCCACAAAAGCATACATATATCTAATTGTAAAATTGCAAACAAAAATGATTGAAGTTAAATGGAAAGACATCAGCAGATATAGTTCGACCAACGTAAGGCGTGAAAACAGATAGACTTACCTTGAAGACACAGGCTGAAGAGTTAAATGTTTGAGGGACAATTTGTATATAGTTTCTCTCGACATCTGTGGAGAAGTTAATTTCACATCTGTCCATGCCTAAAAGTTAATAAGAACAAACTCTATTCAAATTCTGCGAAATAAATTGATCATGGTTAAAGATACATAGGTAGAGAAAAAAGACACTTCATACAGTTACATACTAGAGAGAGGTTGATTACGAATGAAGAAACTTAGGTAAAACATGCTTGCTTCAAATAAAAGATCAATTCAAGTAACCTCGTTAAAGCCCATCCTAATATAAGACATAGTCCTTTTATCATTTGGTTATCAAAAGGCACCAAATTAATTACTTCATAGGGCTTCTAACTTTCTTAAATAATATGGGTTTATTTATCCTCTACTGAACCAAGCATTCTTCTCAGGGAGTAAACTTCATACAAATAGTATTCAAACTTATGACTTGCATAATAAAGAATGAAGTGGAAAATACTTTTACTGAAAGAAAAGTTCACAATATGAGAAAAAAAAAGACTCACCCAAGCCCAACTCTCAGGTTTAATTTCCTCATAAAGTGGCTTCACTATGGCATAAAATCGTGCATTTGTGCTCAGGACAATCCCTGCATTAGGCCTCTCCAAAATTAGATAACCTCCAGTCATCAAAACCTTTCCAGGAGCAGAAGCAATCCTGCTCAAATATCATTCATGTTAAAATCAGCTAATTCTATTTCATTAAATACAAAAGGATACAATTTTCACCATAAAGCTGAGAAATAGAAGAACATGAAATGTTGAAGAAACTTTAGACTTACACGGCCATTTCTTTACTATACTCAATGGATTGATCTTGGAATTATCGATATTCAACAAAGCAGAGCTGCAATCAGAAGTCACTAATGTCATAATTTTACTTCAATCGAAGAAACAGCAAGACCAGTAGAGAAAATAAACAAGACTCTTTTTCCAGGCAGCTGAGAAAAATGCCAAAATGGGAAAATAAGGCAAGCAAGTCGCCATTCTCATAATAATAATAATAAGGCAGAAACAATAAAGTTTACATCAAAAACCCAATATCACATCCAAAATGAAAAGCAGAAAAAGATTCTTCCTTTTTCTCTTTTGGCCAACAACCATATATCATACGACCAAGAAACTGAAATGCAAGAAATGTAACAATGAAACAGACACGGCAGATTGAATACTTCAACTGGGGTAAATTGATGGTTGGATGATCAAATGGTTTGATGTCAAAAACCCAAAAAATTTCAGATTGAATGCGATTTATTGATCTCTTGGTTATATATCAATTGAAATAAGTCTTCTCACAAGCAATTCTAAGCATAATTCCTGCAAATGTTGATAAACAAAAAGGGATAGATTAACTTACTAATAACCGATGCAAGGATGGAGAGAAGAAGATGCAGATGGTATTGTTGTGTTCAAGTACGTTCTGGGATTCGCAGATTCGGATTCAAGTGATCAGTATCTTCTTTTTTTTCCTCTTTGTTGGGACAACGCCAAGGAATAAAAGCAGCAAGGGCAATAAAACAATTACTGCTCTTTGTTGACTCAATTTGTTAAGACTTCAAACCTGCGTAGCTACTTCTCAGTTTTCAGTTCTCAGTCGCTGACTTGGGAACGTGGTCCACTTCTCGCTGTGCAACAGATCAGGCACTTACCAAGTACTACAGCGTAAAAGAACCAACCACCTTTGGTTTAAAGTCGTGGGCTGCCGAAAGAGTTTTAAGGCTCTTCTTGGCGCAGGTCAAGAGATTTGGGATTGAATTTCTTGATTTGCATTCACCTTTAGTATTTTTTAAAAATTTCACAGTTCCCTTCAGATTTTCTCTTGACCCATTTGAATCCATCCCTTCCCTCTTAGTAAAGTAGGTGTAAGTATAGAATAGAACAAACTACCGTGTCAACCAAAAATAAAATAAAATAAAAGAATTTTTATTTTTTATTTTCTTTGTTTATTATTTACTAGTATTATGTAACATATATTAACAGATCATAAGAAGAGAAAAAAACAAATGAAACAAAAGAGTACATTTTCGAACATTTTAAAAGTGCTTAGAATATTAACCTTTAATTAGAATTCAATTTAGCAATCCATTTTTTTCAATTAGAATTAAGCATGGAAATAGCAATATCTACATATTTTTAATTCCATAAAGTTGAATTCTAAATATTTTTCAAAGTAGAATATGAAATAATATTGACTTCTTAATGCTAATATCTAGCATCTAATTATCTGTAAATTACTATTAAGGACAATTCAACAAAATAAAGGTAGTAAGTTATAAAAGGAAATAGAAAAAAAAATTAAAACAACTTCAGCGAAAACATAAATTTTGGAATGAAATAAACAACAAAAGGGATTTCTATATAGGACTACAGTAAAGCTTATGGTATGAAATTTTTTCCTTTTACAAAAGATGATACTAGTCTTGAGATAATTTAAACATTATAAAAATTTTAATTTAGTATATAAAAGCTAAAGGGCGTGAGTGTCTAAGAAATGTATAGGATGCGGATTTAATATGAACAGGTACGGGTTGGACTCCACCCATAAAAAAATTATGTTAGGCTTGGCTCATATTGGATCATTCATGTAAAAATGCTATAGTCTCTTTTGAGTATTATGCTTGAGGTTGAAAATTACATACAAAAAAAAATTCAATTTTATGTTTCGTAAGTTTAACTTTAATCTTACGGTTACCAAAATTCAAGTCAAAATAACTTTTTAAAAAAATCATAATATCAATTATCTCATCCATTCCTCATCCCACGACAAATAATGTGTTTGGATAAGAGATTATTTGGAATAACACTCTATAACACTTTTTATAGTATGACGTGTGTAAGGTAAAAATGTGATTGAAAATTATGTCTATGATATAAGTGGACTAATATTTGACTTTTTTTTTAAAACAAATCAGGCTAACCAAACAGACCAATATCAGCTTCGCCTTCGAATTTCTACATATAATCCTGCTTTTTTAAAATCTTGGGATCACGGACAATCAAATGAAATAAAGTTGGACCTTTTTATAAAAGAAAGAAATGGAGTAAGGTTGCAAGCAAAGCGTAATCCAATGTTTGGTTACTTTTTTGAACTCTGGATTAATGATTTTATAGCAAAACTGAATTGTTATGTACATTGATGGTTGGATCAATCCTAGAATAAGAATAAATTTATTTGTCGTTCTCGGAAATCACATCAAGCCCCTTCCCCGCCCCGCCCTACTTCTCTCGCTAGGGCATTTGCGGAACTAATAAAAATTTATTATAATCAAATTTTAGCAAATAAATAAATATTAAAGTATTAACATATCATCAAGTTATTATTTATTATAATTTCACAATTTAAACTTATAAAAACAATCAAACAAAAGTTATTTGAATACAATAATGGAATAAATACAACTAAAGTAGTCAAATTTTCACTTTTAGCGCAAAAACAATCACTAATTCATTACTGTACTTGTGTATTTTTTTTTGAGAAAAAGTGTTATTATATTAGGTGTAATTAAGAATTTAGTATAAATGTATTAGTAAATTTAGTATAATTAATTAATAATTTCTATTAGTAGACATATATAATTATTAGTATAATTAATAATATCAATTATATTATATATACTAATATGCATTATATAATACATATAACTAATAATATCATCATTATAAGTTTGTAACTAATTAAATTAAATATTATATATATGATTATATACATATATATTTATTTATACATTTATTTTTTTTAGTGGGTGGCGGGGCAAGGTGGCGGAGCGAGGGAGCATGTCCCCGCCCCTCCCCATTTCTAAGTGGGGTGCGCCATCCCCCTGCTCCATTAGCCCCCAGTAAGATGGGTGCCTATAGCTTATGTTTTCAGAACTGGACCGAGTATCGACTCGATCGAGCTCAGAGATTAGGAGTTAATGAGTTCAACCAGATTCTATCGGGATTGAATTGGATGATGTCATAAATAAAAATTATTTAAAAATTAAAATATTATATGTAAAATACCTAATAACATGTTAATATTAATAAAGGTATATTTATATATATTTGATGTCTCAAATATATTTAACAGGAAAATACAAATAAATTAGAACAATCAAGTAGCAATTTATATTATTTAATGAGTATTAACAAATTTAGAATTAAAATTATGGATTTAATTGAAAAATAACACCAAACTTTAAAACAACATTTATAAAGTATGAAATATTTGAAGTATATTAATAATTTTTAATAACTTAGGGTCAAAACATAATATTAAAAATATTTTGACCTTTCAAAAAAAAAAAGAGACTGGGTTCATATTTTCCAATCAAACTCGATTTTTGACCTGATTTGACAGAATTTTTTATTTTCCAATTTTTAGCATTAACTCGGACCGAACAATTGGCACATTCCCGATTCGACTAATCGGATCAGCCGGTCCGATCCGAGTTTAAAAACAGAGCCACCTGCCTCATTACAGTTGAATCGGCCGGTCCGATCCGAGTTTAAAAACAGAGCCACCTGCCTCATTACAGTTGAACTCATTACCATCCCTATGTCTCAATCATCTGAAACTCTGAATCAAATTAAACTTGTTACTGCTACAATATTTAGTATTTATAGCCACTTCTTTTTGTTTCTTTTTTGTCAATCATCCTTACTGTTTTTTAAGGATTATTTATTGCCGACTTTGTTGCAGACAAGAGAAAGTGACTTGCATTCACTTGCTTTGTCAATTATTGAGCTACCTCTACATCTGGACACCATTAATAATGTGTCAGTCTAAATATGGGCCAGTCTTCCGAACACTCAACCAACCCCCCCCCCCCCTTTTTCTCCCAAAAAAAAAGGAACAAGAAAAATGAAAAGGAACTATGTTGGTTAGTCCATATGAAAATTAATCGAATTTGGAAGCTATTTGCCGGACTATAACTCAGAAAAAAGAGGCAAAAAACCTGAAGTGCTCGTGAAAATATCTTTTAATCAAAATTAAAAAAATTGTAATCTAGGATGTGTCTATCTCGCTATGGAACACACCATTATAGAGTTTTATGGATAACTAATAATAGTGCCAAAGCAAAAAAATTCCAACAAATGGGTGGTACTAACTTCACAGCTCTATTAATCGAGTTTGAGTCGAGCATTATAATTACATGATCCCATAATGATGGATTGAAAATTATGTGATTTTTTAAGATTCTAATTATGCAAAAGACTATCCTTGTAATAAAAGATGGATATTTCTCGTGGCATTTGTTAGTGAAGAAAAGTCATTGTGAAACGAATTAGTTGACCAGAGATAAAAGTTGAAGTGTTTTAAATATAATAACATTCTATATTAAATCTTTATTTTTAACTTATCTGTGTCGTCATTGTTTGTGTAATTTGGCTGAGGTATCAAGAGTTAGGGCATATTTATGTATCGAAATATTATATACACTGTAATTTTAAGAGTCATAGAAGTCTACAAATCATTAATAGCCTTCTAATATAAATAAACCTCTCAATTTCAACTTAAGTTTATCATTAAATTTTAGATAATATTTTCCCTTAAAATCTAAAAGGGTGAATAATCTCTCAATTTATTAAAAGTTTAGACATTTAGATTGTGTCTGTGACAAAAATCACAGCATCTATGAATTTGTGAGAAATAGGGGTGAGGTGAGGGAGAGAGGGAAGAGAAGGAGGGGGAAAGGATAGGAGAGGAGGAGTGAGGGAGGAAGAAAGAAGGAAGGAAAAGCGGAAGGACGAGAGGTAGGGCGAGGGAAAAAAATGGTGTTGGGGGAGGGGGGAGGGCGAAGAAGGGTGCTTGCGGAATGCCAGCCGATAATGATGGGTTGAAACGACGGAGGAAGAAGAAGAAAAGAGAAAATAAAGAAAAAACTTTGTGTATTTTTGACTTTTTGGGGTGTATATTTTGAAAAATCGTAGAGTATTTTAGAAAGTTATTAGAGACAAAGTTATAAAAAAATTTTGTGTATTAAGAATAGGCCAAAAAAAACTTGCCTCCCAAACAAAAGCAATGTACGCGCAAACTGATATAAAGCACTACCTTTTCATTAAATTAATTGATAGAACTAAGAAAGAGAGCCTATCAAAAAAAAAAAAAAAAAAAAAGAGTAAGAAAGAGAGATAACCGACTGTACCATTATCACACACACCATAGTTAATTCCCAAATTTCAGTTTTTCTATTTCCAATGAGATGTTTACCATTATGACACAAAAATTTTGAGCTACAATTCTGTGAGGACGTCATTTCCATTTGGAAAAGTAAGAAAAGGAGATAATCGAGTCAAAGTCAAAATTGGAAACATATGGTGAACGGTTTAATCCTCAAGAACACTTACATATGTTGATGTATATGGTAACATGGTTGAACAGATTATTCATGAGCTTATGAAGGCACCCCAACAAAGCACGAAAGCCAAAGAAAAAAAAAAACTTGTAGTTCAGATAAACAAAAACTCTACATAGGAAAACCACAATATACTTCATCGTTAGGTGATTAAAAAGAACACAAAACAGGATTTACAAAAAGTTCTTCTGACTAAAATCCAATATTTTCTTGGAGTTTCAAATGAGAATAGTCCTACTATCAGGAAAACATTTTGAGCACGATTCTATGCGCATATTTATCATTTCGGCTTGAAAAAAGCAAGGAAGGGAATGAACCCAGTCAAAATGATAAAGATATTTTGGTGCACGCATATATGATATTTTGGTCATACAACAACAGAATGAAAAGTAACCGATACAACCATTACATAGCAATATGCAACAAATAGTTGAAGATAAACGTATTAGGTCTTCTCTTTTGTTTTCTTGTTTTTGGAGCTGAACCGTTGATCAGATTTGCTGAACTAGTCCAGGAGGGGAGAGAGATATCCACATGAAACATGCATGACAATCTAATGAGAAATCTCACATGAAACACGCATAATGATCTATTTGCTGTTGATTTCCAGCGTCAACCCGGATTCCCAAGCTTTTCTTGAAACAATTTTTCAAGTCGGTTGGCCATGGAAGGAGTTAGTACATTTACCCAGTCACCAACTTCTGCCTTCCTGAAAAAGGAACTATGCTTGGCTCTAAAAGCGGCTTTTATCTCCCCCTCCTTGTTACAGTCCAAATTCTTAAGATTTTCGAAGCTGCAGAGCATTGCTATCTCTTCAACCAAACCGGCTTCCTCTTCCTCAGCTGAAAATGGATATCCTAAAAAGTCAGCTATCTTCTTCACGGAGCTATTGATATCCTTTTTTAGATCCTCATACTTCAAAAACAGCACTTTTTGAGGGTTTTTCAAGCTTGCATCCCAATATCCTAAACAATGGTCCCAGAATGGACCATACGGGTGTATGCCCTGACAAAACTCTTCAAAAGGTACATCAATAGACATCGATGGGCTTGAAATACGACCATTTTGCAGTAAGAATTGCAACACTGAAGTGAACACATCCAAAGGGTTTCGGCACAGGTAGATGATTCGACAATTGGAGCAATCCAAGATGCTGCTAGGAAGGAATTGATAAGGGAGGTGAGTAGCGAGGATTCGTGGGCAAGGCATAGAGTCTATATCGGGAATATTACCATCCTTGTACAGATATATCTCGAGAAAAGGGACGAGATAATGAGGGTTGGAGAAGAGCAAAGGGCTCTCATCGACTGAATGATTGTTGCGGTTAACAATACTGAAGGTGAGGGCTTTAAGCCATGTGGTTCCTGATTTCGGCATGGTGGCCAACATAATGTCAGAGTCAATGGCTTTGAAGTGCTTTTGAAAGGTTAATGTAGCTTGAAGTAAATCTGCACCAAACCAAACGCCTTGGTAATTAGCCAGCAGGCTCCCTGCTACAGGCTTCTTTGGTTGCAACCTCTGGAAGAGCTCTTCAAAGCGATCATCTTTTTGCTCCACTTCAGTTGAAGATGACATCTCCTGGATTACTTGAACGAAAATCTGTGTGTGTGTGTGTGTGTGTTTTTGTTTTTTGGATTGATACCAGCAAAGTTTGAGCCAATACTTATGTGCTGCACCAATTAGTAATGAAATGCTGAAGTTTATATAAAGATGATCAACTGTCCTTTAATATATTATCTAGACATCCAAGTTAGGACAGATCAACAGTCCAATATGTTATCCACTCATTCAAGTTGCGCTATAGTTTATGATATGCAAATAAATTATACAATGAAAGAGAGTAATGGAGTGATGATCCAATGAATGTGATCGTTTTAGAATAAGATAATCCCCTGAGAATCATGTTAAGGATGGTTCGAAAGACAAGTTTTATTCATGAAATTTCAAAATTAAAATCGAGATATAAGTGAGCTGCTGGGACGCTAATTCAAATTTAGATGATATTATTCTTGGGAAGGACTGGTCAACTCAACTGTGAATTGTGTCATTCATACTGTTAAATGTAAATATAGCTACTAACTAACTCATATGTCTTGAATTTTCTATCTTATACTCCTTTCGTCTCACTTTGATAGTCCTGTTTTCCTTTTTCGTCTGTCCCAAATTGTAGTCCACTTTTCAATTGAAAAATATAGTTGTATTTTAATTTTTCTAAAATACCCTTATTTAATATAAGTTGTTGTTACTATAAACCTACCCCATTTAATAAGAAAATGTGATTGAAAATGTGGTTGCAAGCAAAGCGTAATCCAATGTTTGGTTACTTTTTTGAACTCTGGATTAATGATTTTATAGCAAAACTGAATTGTTATGTACATTGATGGTTGGATCAATCCTAGAATAAGAATAAATTTATTTGTCGTTCTCGGAAATCACACCAAGCCCCTTCCCCGCCCCGCCCTGCTTCTCTCGCTAGGGTATTTGCGGAACTAATAAAATTTTATTATAGTCAAATTTTAGTAAATAAATAAATACTAAAATATTAACACATCATCAAGTTATTATTTATTATAATTTCACAATTTAAACTTATAAAAACAATCAAACAAAAGTTATTTGAATACAATGATGGAATAAATACAACTAAAGTAGTCAAGTTTTCACTTTAGCACAAATACAATCACTAATTCATTATTGTACTTGTGTATTTTTTTTTGAGAAAAAAGTGTTATTGTATTAAGTGTAATTAAGAATTTAGTATAAATGTATTAGTAAATTTAGTATAATTAATTAATAATTTCTATTAGTAGACATATATAATTATTAGTATAATTAATAATATCAATTATATTACATATACTAATATACATTATATAATACATATAACTAATAATATCTTCATCATAAGTTTGTAACTAATTAAATTAAATATTATATACATATATATTTATTTACACATTTATTTTTTTTAGTGGGCGGGGGCATGCGCTCCATCTCCTGCTCCACTAGCCCCCAGCGAGATGGGTGCCTGCAGCCTATGTTTTCAAAACTGGACCAGGTATCGATTCGATCGAGTTCAGGAGTCAAAGATTAATGGGTTCAATTAAGTTCGATCGGAATTGAATCAGATGACGTCATAAATCAAAATTATTTAAAAATTAAAATACTATATATAAAATACCTAATAACATATTAATATTAATGAATGTGTATTCATCCGATCCGAGTTTAAAAATGGAGCCTGCAGCCACCTGTCCCATTGCCATCCCTGTGTGTCAATCATCTGAAATTCTGAATCAAATTAAACTTGTTACTGCTACAATATTTAGTATTTATAGCCACTTTTTTGTTTCTTTTTTTGTCAATCATCCTTACTGTTTTGTAAGGATTATTTATTGCCGACTTTGTTGCAGACAAGAGAAAGTGACTTGCATTCACTTGCTTTGTCAATTATTGAGCTACCTATACATCTGGACACCATTAATAATGCGTCAGTCTAAATATGGGCCACGCCGCCCCTTCTCTCCCTCTTCCCAAAAAAGAAAAGGAATAAGAAAAATGAAAAGGAACTACGTTGGTTAGTCCATATGAAAATTAATCGAATTTGGAAGCTATTTGCCAGACTATAACTCAGAAAAAAGAGACAAAAAAACCTGAAGTGCTCGTGAAAATATCTTTTAATCAAAATTCAAAAAAATTGTAATCTAGGATGTGTCTATCTCGCTATGGAACACACCATTATAGAGTTTTATGGATAACTAATAATAGTGCCAAAGCAAAAAATTTCCAACAAATGGGTGGTACTAGCTTCACAGCTCTATTAATCGAGTTTGAGTCGAGCATTAGAATTAGATGATTCCATAATAATGCTAAGGATGGATTGAAAATTATGTGATTCTTCAAGATTCCAATTATGCAAAAGACTATCCTTGTGATAAAAGATGGATATTTCTCGTGGCATTTGGTTAGTGAAGAAAAGTCACTGTGAAACGAATTAGTTGACCAGAGATAAAAGTTGAAGTGTTTTAAATATAATAACATTCTATATTAAATCTTTATTTTTAACTTATCTGTGTCGTCATTGTTTGTGTAATTTGGCCGAGGTATCAAGAGTTAAGGCATATTTGTGTATCCAAATACATTGAAATTATGCATTGTAATTTTAAGAGTCATTGAAGTCTACAAACCATCAATAGTGTTCTAATATAAATAAATCTTTCAGTTTCATCCTAACTTTATCCCTAATTTTAGATATATATATATATTATCCCCCAAAATCTAAAAGGTTGAATACTCTCCTGATTTATTAACAATTTAGACTTTAGACATTTAGGCTATTTGTGACAAAAATCACAACATCTATGAATTCGGGTGGGGGTAAGGGAGAGGGGGAAGAATGAGGAGGCGGAGAGAAGAGGAGGGATACGGGGCACAAACGGTTGCAGGTGCAACCGTTTGTGCCAATTGTCTTCATTTTGCACTGCGTGTAACATTGGTGCAACACGATGTAACTTTTTTTTCACATGACGTATTTTCACAACAGATAGTGGTGGGCCCCACACTCAGCGCGGAAATCGAGTTACATGGTGTAATCTCAGCCATACAAAATTTTGAGGGCCAATCTTGGCCCTCAACCGTGCAGGGACGGTCATCAGTATGACCGTCCCTGCCCCAAATCCGAAGAGGAGAGGGGGAGGGAGGAGGAGGGAAGGGTGACAGCGGAACATCGGCTGGTAGTGGTGGGTTGAGACGACGGAGGAGGAAGAAGAGAAAAGGAAAAAAAAGAAAAACTTTATGTATTTTTTATTTTTTGGGGTATATGTTTTAAAAACTGTAGAGTATTTTAGAAAGTTATGAAAATGTTATATACACTCTTTTTTGTTATTTGTACTTTCACTATCATTTTTATTATATAGTTTTCATTTATTGGACTATATGATGTAACAAATGGTGAGAGTGTAAATAACAAAATATAGAGCGTAAATAATATTCCTCGAAAGTTATTATGGACAAAGTTGTAAAAAATTTTGTGTATTAAAAATAGGCCAAAAAAAAACTCCCCTCCCAGACAGAAGCAATTGTCCTTATGTGTATCGTACGCGCAAACTGATGTAAAGCACGACCTTTCCATTAAATTAGTTGATAGAAGTAAGAAAGAGAGCCTAAAAAAAAAAAAAGAAAAAAGTGTAAGAAAGAGAGATAACCGAGTGTACCATTATCACACACACCATAGTTAATTCCCAAATTTCTCCGTTTGCATTGACCATTTTTTCAAAAACAAATTTTTTAAATACAATACTATAATAATACACAATAATTGAAAAAATATTTCATCCATACAATATATCAAATACTTCAAAAAAAATCTTATAGTAAAAATTTTTCATACACACTGCTATAATAAAATTTTTTAAAAATATCTCCAAAAATAGCTAATCCAAACGGAGCTTGTTTTTCTATTTCCAATGAGATGTTTATCATTATCACACAAAATTTTTATTTACGATTCTGTGAGGACGTCATTTCCATTTGGAAAAGTAAGAAAAAGAGATTATCGAGTCAAAGTCAAATTTGGAAACATAGGGTGAACGGTTTAATCCCCAAGAACAGTTACATATGTGGATAGTTAAACAGATTATGAAGGCAACCCACCAAAGCACGAAAGCCGAAAAAAAAAAACTTGTAGTTCAGATTAAATAGGAAAACCACAATATACTTCATCGTTAGTGATTAAAAACAACACAAAACAGGTTTTACAAAAAGTCACAACGGATCTTCTGTACCACATTTTGTGCCAATCTCTGTCCCACTTTTTATTATATTGCTATTTCTCCTTCATAAACATCATATTTTAATTCTTTTTTATTTTTTTAAGATCTAATAACTATTAATTCAATACAAAATAAATACAACAGCTTCAAAAAAGCAATATATAAAAGAAAATTAAAAAATACAGCAGAAAATTCGTAAAAAATCTCATTTTTTATGCATTTTAATTTTTTGAATTTGTTAAATTTTGTGTATTACTCAATTAATAGTTATTGGATCTTAAGAAAACAAAAACAATTAAAACATGATGTTTATGAAAGAGAAATAACAATATAATAAAAAGTAGGATAGAATGTGGCACAGGATGTGAGACAGAAGATCCGTTGCGACAAAAAGTTCTCCTGACAAAAATCCAGTACGTGACTTAAGTCCCAAATATTTTCTTTTGTCCTTTTTCTTGGAGTTTCAAATGAGAATAGTCCTACTATCAGGAAACATTTTGAGCACGATTCTATGAGCATATTTATCATTTCGGCTTGAAAAAAGCAAGGAAGGGAATGAATCCCGTCAAAATGATAAAGATATGGTAATCTTTTTAATCCTTAAGAATAGTTGCATACATGTGCACACATATATGATATTTTGGTCATACAACAACTGAATGAAAAGTAACTGATACGACCAATACACAGCAATAAGCAACAAATAGTTGAAAATAAACGTATCAGGTCTTCTCCTTTGTTTTCTTAGTTTTTGGAGCTGAACTGTTGATCAGGATTTGCTGAACTCGTCCAGAGGAGAGAGATATCCACATGAAACATGCATGACAATCTAATGAGAAATCTCACATGAAAACACGCATACTGATCTATTTGCTGTTGGTTCCAGCCGCCAACCCTGATTCCCCAAGCTTTTCTTGAAACAATTTTTCAAGTCGGTTGGC